GTGCACAAGTTTTTCGTGCAAAGAAGGATGGGCAGCTAAGCAAAATATACTGTATATGTATATACCAAAGTTGCGTACGTCAGACGGCGCATAGCTCGAGAATGGATGGTCCACTTTGAGCTATTTTTTTTGTATGTTTGTTTGCCTAGTAAATTTTTTCGGTGCCATTTACAGTTGATAGATCTACAAGAACATCGAGGGCATATATTCAATAGCCTCTATCTGAAGTTTTCACATAAACAACTTCCCTACTAGACAAACCTGACGGAAACTATTACACACACACCAGTGAACCAACACAAATGCAAGTATGGACATATATTAGTTCAATACTGTGTAAATACTAGCGAGAATGAAACCCATCAAAATTTGAAAGAAAGAGATAGCAACAATGTACTACGACTGTTTTCAGCTAATTTCACAGAGTTGCATTTCATGCTGATTGAATGTAGTTGCCACCTTCAAAATACCAAATATATCCGAGTACTATGTAAAGCAGTGCCCGCCAAAAAGAGAAAAGTCTTAAAATGAGAATGTACTAGTTACGAAACAAAAAATGAGAATGTTTTGGTGGTAATGCACGGAAAAAATTTCTGTGTTGTATTACTTATTATAAAAACTTTGGTATGTTTTTTTGCCGTTTTTTTCATTGTGCGCTATTTTTTAAACAACATCGAAACATATAATGAAAGTTAACGGCCCTAAGAAAGGAAAAAGTTGGTAAAATTTTATATGTATTGTACAAAATTATTATTATTTTTTTATAATTTAAGTGTGGAGATCTGAGCAAAAAAGACGACGTGCTTCGAGCACTCTGAATATTAAAAGAAAATTTCGTTGATTTCAAGTAGAAATAAAATAAAAATATATATATCTAATATATATTTATTTTAAAATTAGGTAAAACTTGACATTTAAGAACAATTTAAAGTAACGATTAAACCAAAAGATAAATAACAAAGCATATTGTATGTTTTAATTGAGGATTGCTCATTAGCAGTAGAGAACAGGGCGACGTATTCATATACGAATTCGCGTTTTGTAGAACAGAGACAAGCTACTGACTTTGCAATTTAAAAGTAAAGTTTTCTGTCAAGTGTGATACAAGGTCAGCATTTACATCACCAATGACAGTTAAGTCTTAGGGGAATTTTTATATCAGAACCTCATTCTCATCATTATGAAAAATGCAGATAGAGGGTATTGAATATAAGCCCTCGATATTCTTGTGTATAGGTGTGTATGAAGTTACTACTGCCACAGAAGGGCGAATTCTGCGTAGTAAGAAGTTCTGACACTCTTGTCCGGCAGCACAGAAAGGAGAAATCTGCGGGTTGCGTAAGGGTTATAATCCTTAAGCGCGGCCGAAGGCCGCCTACGCAGGAAGATGTTCTACCACTCTTCTCCGGCAAAACAGAAAGAAGAATTCTGGTTAGTAAGGGTTATGATCCCTAAGCGCGACTGAAGGCCGCCTTCGCAGGAAAAAGTTTTGCCAGTTAATTAATTATAAAAAACTTAGGGCCGGTTACTCAATGTCTGGTCAACACTAATCTGCGGTTAAACATCGTTATCGACGTTACCGACTCCCTGTTATATGCATGGAGTCTTTCGCATTCATTGTTATTGGCGTCACTAACTAAAACCTAAATTTGTAGAAATTAACCGTTCTTTACTTGCAGCATGAATCAACATCCGCATTTCACACGCACTGATCTCAGCGTTTCAGACGCCTAAAATTAAAATACTTGCATGCTACGTAAGTCCCTAGTTTTAAAAAATCATCAAGCGTATTTTATACAAATATATACTTATTTATTTGCAGGCAAGTAATATGATTTATCCAAAGGCCCTTTTCAGGGCCGCCAATTAATTAACAAAGAGATTAGAATTTTATGCTTAGATAAATACATATATACCAATCAACAAGAGACCCTTTTCAGGGCCGCAATTAAGTTGACAAAGAGATTAAAATTTTATATCCTATATATATTTATGTTCTTAACGTATATATGTATGCATGTATCTTTTTAATAATTATCATTTAAATTATATAATTTTTTTACTTAGATTTAATAGCAATTACTTGTTTTTACACATCATTTTGCTTCGTTATAGTTAAACTTAACTAAGTGGATAAATTAAAATATAATATACTGCACATATATGTATATAATATACTGCAAAATAAAGACTATAGTAGTAAAAATTGTAAATCGAATAAATGTTTATTAAAACTATACCTCATTGCACTAGCTTCCAANTAAAATATAATATACTGCACATATATGTATATAATATACTGCAAAATAAAGACTATAGTAGTAAAAATTGTAAATCGAATAAATGTTTATTAAAACTATACCTCATTGCACTAGCTTCCAAAAACAGAGAAGAAAAATAACTATGACACCAACTACCACTACACCAACTAGTACACCAGGTTGGGATTACTGTAGTCGTCGCTGAAGTGTTTGCACTAGTTGGTGTCGGCTGGTGTACAGAAAAACTATCAAACTAAAGGGTGATTTTCGGCGCCGATGAACCAACTGAACCGAAGATATCATCAAGGTTGGCATTTGAAGTTGGTTGTACATTAATTTCTAAAATAGAAATTTAGGTCTCAATTCAGTCTAAGACTTTTTTGAATCTACCAAATCCTTACCTAAAATATCAGGTATTGGAGCCGAGCCAATGTCAGATGAATTATCATCCCCGAATGCTCCAAGCAAATCGAAACTAGCGTCACTCGTTGGCATAACAGTGGCTTGTGGATCTTGCACCGGCAGCTGGGGTTGGGGCTGGTTTAAACTGAGCATGTCTATTGGTGGTGATGGTTGAGGTTGGATTCGAGGTACATCCTATTGCTTTATTTCGGTAGCATCTGGTAAATAGGCGTTATCTACCGAAGCAGCTGACCTAACAGGCGTAGGTTTGTTGATGGAACTAGGTTTTGTCACTGTAGTAAGGAAAATAAATAAATTAATGAAATGGGCCGAAATACTATAGGGACTTGCCGAAATTATCCACCATTTCCTCGAATTCTAATTGCGAACTAAATATATGTTGTGCGATTCTTATGGGCTTTGCTGGTAACCAAGGAGGATTCGTTATCCGTGAAACTCAACGACAGCGAAACCGAAAAGTCATGAGGAACCTGATTGGCATCCGGTAAATCATCGAGATCATTCGAGGAAAATGTTATCAATGTTTCTTGTTCCGGTATGAAGCCCGTGTTGATTTGGAATTGACAAATCTTCAAATTATGGAAATTAAGCTGCATCACCACCGGCATGCTTGCAGCGACTTATTTTTTCCAAACCCTGTAAGCAAAGTTTTTATTAATACGACACAAATTTGTTATTACTGCCACGCACTCACCAAATTAAATGATTCCACAAGCCCAGTGCATGATTTACAAGGCGGCAACTTAGTTGATTTTTCCTTTTGGTCCTTTGGAGATTTGTCAAAAGCTTCCACAGCTTCACAGTTCTCAAACAGCAACACCAGCCCACTTACAATTGAAAGCACCACTTTTAAACACGACATGTTAAGTTGAAAACGTTGAAATACCACAATTTACAAATTAAAATCGGAGGTAAGCAAGCATCGACCACTTTCTGCAGGAAAACATGCGCTGCGACAAGATATTATCACTTTTTCGGCACCTGCAATACAAACTTATTCGACCTGTGTGCTGATTCAAAAAATTGAACTAACGGTAAAGATTACTGTTTCTTATTGTTGCCATATTGACTCAGAGAGGTGGTTTACAAAGCAATTGTAAAGTAAAAATTTGATCACATAACACCTGAAATGCAAAAAGACGTAATAAACATCGCCGTTGAAATTCAAAAAGCCGTAACTAATACAAAATTCAAAATTCAGTTCAAAGTTCAAAAATGGATTTCATCGAATTAAAACTCCCACATCTTTTAATGAAAAAAATAAAAAAATTAGCACTACCTTTTCCATTTCAGTTACATGTTGTTACGTCTTTTCGCATTTCAGGTGACGATATATTTACATTTTTCTTTACACAAATATTGTAAGGAAAGTTAAATAAAATTTCACTGAGCCCGCAACCAGTTTATCAAACTCTAAAATATTAACAGAATTAGAATCTCTGTCGTCCCTGCAGGGAAACGCGGACTAGTGAATCAAATTTCTAGTTCCGTACTAGGTCTTTATCCCCAAAAAGGAACTAGACCGATATGAACTAGATCTCCACCAGTCCGAAATCGGCGAAAATGGGTACTTTTAAAATACTAATTTTTTTCAGTTTTTTTCACAGAAATCGATATCTAAAGTGACGAATTTAGAAATGGTTCGGAACTATAGAAAAAGGGATGCAGAACGAACTAGATCTTGTTTGTCGAATTTAGAACAAGTTCGGAACTATCGAATAAGGGATGCAGCGGGGGGCTTGTTTACTTTACATAGATATGTGTTCGGCGGCTTTTTCGTTCAAATACGCTTCCATTCTGCGCTTCGCAGATGCTTTTTCATAGCTCGGTAATACAAAACTAAAGTTTGTGTTAACATTTCAACATATTGCGACCGTCTGGAATCTAAGAAATAACAGCGAGCACCTCTGCAAACTCAGCTACAGCTAAAGGTATGT